TTCAGGCCTTAGTGAATTTATCTGTTCGAATATTAGTTGATCCACAGGTGCCATGATCGGATATTCACGGGGTTCCTGTGGGATCGAAACGGGGTGCGAGTAGTCGTTCTATGTTTCTCTCAGTGCGTATATGGAAGGCTGGGTCAAGTCTGTGGTTATTTGGAGTGGTAAGTATGTTTTGTAAATGGCTTTTGAAGGCATTGCCTTTCTGCTGATCAGAGTTTATGATTGTTCACCAGAAGGTTAGAGGAGTTGCTGGTTTTCTGATTCGTTGGGATTTAAAACTTTGCCTAGAAAGCACCACCGTTACGATAATCCAGTTTAATTATCGCTGAAACTCGGTTATATTCGGTTTTAACATGGGGCTGCCAATATGTTAAAACTAACATAGGAGTCGTCTCTTTTGTTTGATTTTATTGATTATGTGGCGTGGAAGTGGTGGTCTGGTAGGGTTCATGACCTTATTGGGGCCTGATATCTTGGTCGCTTAATTTATCAGGTCTTGAATGACTATGATATCATTATTGATATTATTAGGACAGTTAAGATCACCTAACTGTGGAGTGTTGACAGACAAGTATTGTTTGAAGAGGTTCCAGTCGGCGTATTTGTAGTCTTTTATTGTATGGATGGAATTTTGAAGTTATAGAGGATTTAGTATCTGTTCTCTTACTAAAATAGGGATGGGATCCAAAGTAATTAAACCGCCTATTATGCATTCGTCTTCTAGTACGTCTACTACATCATTTGTGCATATGATGTGATCGACGGACGACATGCCATTGGTATTTAAAAAAGTCTGTTCACGCTTAGTTGTTCTGTGAACAGATAGGTCAAAGAGTAGGTTGGTTAGGAGGTTGCGTGCTTCGTGACCGTATCGCTAAATTGTATGTGCTTGGAGTTGAGGTCTCCGAGGATGGTGACCTTACTCAGACTGGAGGCATACTTAAGTGAAATATAGTGTTGTTATCGAGGTAAATGTCACTGCCAGGAACTCTTCATCAATAAGGATTATGTGTGGAGAAATTGTGTGGAGTAAAGAGAATTTCATAACTAATTAGAATGCTGTTACCCTGTGATATCCGGTAACGGAGATGGTGAAGGGTACTGTATCTAGGGTAGGATCTGTTTCGTACAGGGTGTCAAAGAGGGCTAGGATTTGTATATTGTATTTCGGAAGTATGTGATTAATAAAGGAGCATTTTCTTGTGACACCCAGGCAGTTGACAGCACCTACCCTACTGTCCATTTATTTAAGTAGGAAGGGGATGGATGCCCTATTGTTATGCGCTACAAGAGTGTTCTTGTGGCCAAAGATAAGAGAGGCTAATTAATTGGTGATATAAAGTATCAGTTAATGTCTATCAGGAATTAGGTTTATGAAGAGTGAGCAACAATCTTATGAGTTGAATCCTGTCAAACTTATATGGGCGGCTCAAAAAAAATCAAGTAGCGAGGGAAAACTTTTAAAATTTATAATATGAATGGTCTGCAAGTTACTGCTATAGAAAACATTACGCTAAACTAATAGAAAACCAGATTTCTTCAAACGATAGTTAATACTTTTTGTGGATGTAGAACTACTTTGTTAATATTGCTTCATATAATAGGTCCAAACTAAGTGATATAGATCTCTCTCTAACTTAAAGGGCACGATAATCTACTATTCTTTTCTACTAGTCAACGTTTTATGTTTTATGAGACTTTAATAAGTGCGATATTCTATGACTTTTGATTATTTGATTGTAAGTGACTCATTAATAGACTTCGGCAAATATGCATATTGCATATTTTGCATATTGTGCATATTTTATGCAAATATTTCATATTTTGGCATATTTGTATAAAAGTTTGCATAAAGTGCATAAAAGTTCAGATTTTTATACTGTATTTGAAAATTTTTAAACATACCAATTTATTTCAATTCTTGTATAAAATTTTGTAGTCATTTTAATCAAGAAATGATCTAAGTACGTAATCTCTACAGGTACAAAACATTTACAATTTCAAAGAAGATCAATTTAAGTAGCCCTCAACATTCTTAGAAAGTCTCGGTCACTGAGGCATTCAGTTATTGGATAATCGCTAAGGGTTCGCTCATTTGCATTTTATGATCTAATCCCCAAATCTATCTACAATTTATTGTATCTTAACAGCAGGTAAACGGCTAATAGTTTTGTTCCTAATTTAGGGATTTTCCAAAATCTCCCAGTTTATTGAATTAGGTACCTAAACATTTCTAATTTGATGCTCAGATTTGTAAATCATTTTTGTTTTGATATTCAAAGCGTAAACACTCGTTGTGCGTAACAAAAAGGAAGATTGTGATTTTATAATGCCTAAAACAACCAGTGCTTCAACTTGGATTAAACCTTATAAAGAGCTGTCTATGGATATGGGAAAAATCTACTGTTCAGTCTGTAGCAAAATTGTAAGTATCTAATATTTTCTATTAAATATCTAATATTTCATACATACAGGGTGTTTCCAAATGACACTTACAACGTTTGACTGTAGATACTTCTCGAAAAATTGAACAAAACGATATAGTTAATGAGGGGTCAAACTTATTTACTTTTCGACATACAGGGTGTTAAAATTAAAAAAAATTAAATTCTTTTAGTTAATAACAACAATAACTTTAAAACCAATAAACGTATTTACTTGAAATTTAGTACTCGTAGGTTGTTTTTAAATGAAAAATAGCTTCCTTTAGTGAGAAAAAAATTGTCCATGGTACAATACAATGGTGTGTATTTAGAAAAAATTTTCACCTTTACTTTTTTTTATGAAGTCAGCTATTCTAAAACACAATTATTTTTATTGTAATTGAATTAACAAAAAAAAACTTTTGTTGAATTTTAAAATAAGTTATATGATGTACTAATGGTTAGTAACAAAAAACTAATTTGTGGATTAATACTGCATTTAAAACACTTAGCGAGTGTTTTTTTTTCCAAACCAGTTATTTGATTAACCAAAAACACCTTGTATATTTTTATATTTTAAAGGTTGGGTTAAAATAAAGGTTTTTATTTTTATTTATAGATAGCATGTGAGAAGAAATTTCAGATAGACCAACATGTGAGAACTGCTTCACACATTGCAAAAAAAGGAAAAATAGGAGGAAAACATCAAACTTCAATGGCTAAATGTTTCCAATCTACTTCAAAAAAATTAGATGAGCAAGAAACTTTTAATGAAGACTTGTGTCGCGCATTAGTGTCTGCAAACATACCGCTTTCAAAATTAGCAAATGTAAATTTTAGTTCGTTTCTAAAAAAATATTGCAAACTTAATGTTCCAAGTGATCGGTCTCTAAGAAGAAATAATGTGAACGGGCTATACTCGTCGGTGTTAATTAATATTAAGGAAGAAATTGCAGATAATTATTTTTACATATCTGTAGACGAAACCACTGATTCCTCAGGAAAGTATATTGCTCATTTATTGATTGGTGTTCTTAAAGAAGATACCTTACCAAAATCTCATCTTATTTCATGCCAGCAACTTGAGAAAACAAATGCTTTAACAATTTCGCGTTTTATACAAGAAACATTAGCAACTTTTTTTCTTCCGACAACTATTCCTTCTAATAAATTACTGCTTATTTTATCGGATGCTGCTCCTTATATGGTGAAAGCAGGACAAAATTTAAAAATATTTTTCCCACATTTAATACATGTTACTTGTGTAGCGCATGGCATTAAACAGAGTTGCAGAGGAAATACGAAAAAAGTTTCCTCTTGTAAATACCATGATATCCAGTGTCAAAAAAGTATTTCTTAAATCTCCTATAAGAATTCAACTTTATAAAGCAATGCTACCTAACATTCCTCTTCCACCACAACCTATTTTAACGCGATGGGGAACATGGTTAGAAGCAGCTAATTTTTATGCAGATCATTTTGTTAAAATAAAGAACATAATTGATACGTTAACAGATGAAAGTTCCCAATCTCTTTTGGATTCTAAACAAACTTTTCAGAGTAACTTGCTTCAACAAGAACTTTCATTTATAAAATCAAATTTTAGTTTTGTTCAAAAAACAATTACTCAGTTAGAATCACCAAAACTGTCATTGTTCGAAAGTACAGCATTAATAAAAAATTTGCGTCATGTTGTCGGAACGTTAGAGGTAATATTGGAAAAGATATTTTAAAAAAATTTGAAGCTACTATGGAAAAAAATAAAGGTTACCATATTCTTTCTGAAGTAGTCAGTGTTCTAGCTGGAAATATTTCGGAAACAATTAATTTAGAACTAAATGTTTTGGTTAGTTTGAAAAATGCTCCCGTTACATCAGTTGATGTTGAACGAAGTTTTTCCATATATAAATATATGTACTCAGACAGAAGCCACAAGTTTTTGTTAGAAAATTTTGAACACCACTTGGTCATTTATTGTTACCATAATTCTAAATAAGTTTATTCATACTTAAAAATGATGTAGTTACTTAAAATAAATGTAAATCTTAATGAATAGTAGGAAATATTTAGTTATGTACACTTTTTTTTTTAAATAAAATTGTTACTATTTTACGATTTTTTTATTTATTTGTATGCATATTTTGTAAAATATTTGCATATTTTCGGGTAAACACGTGCATATTTATGTGCATATTTTCTACATTTTTATTTGCATATTTGCCAAAGTCTACTCATTAATATAGAAATTGATAAATCATCAATAATCACAACCTGGGGAGAGTATTGTTGTTAAAATTCAATTATCCTTTCTCAGAATTTAATGTCTACAATTTTGATACACTACTATAGACCAAATTTCCTAGGAAAAAATTAGAAATGCGTGGGCTAATCTAATTACTAAGAAATCGTCAGAGAAGGCAAGAATACGAATAAGGAAAAATATAAAATAACTAGTAAAATAAATTAAATAAAACGAATTTAGATTCAATCAATATTTTATTAAAATATATAATATTTATTAAAAAAAATTATAAAAAGTTATAGTTATTTTAAAACTTATTTTAAAATTGTATGAGAATTTATTAATATATTTTTTCTCTATAAGAGATTAGAAAGCGTATTACAAAAAGTAATCACAAATATTTAGGAAGAGTCTACGTCCTTTTTACCCTCAAGTATACTTTGAATATCTTGACAACTTTTTCCTGAGGTCTCAGGAACACATTTAAAAACATATATAGCTGCTGCAACGCAACATATACTAAAGAATCCAAAAGTTCCAGATGTTCCTACTAATATAGTCAAAGCGCTAAAATAGTTTGTGATAATAAAACCCAAGATCCAGCAAAATGAGGCTGTTGCTGAAGAAGCGACGGATTTGACGTTACCTGGGAAAATTTCTCCAAGGATTGCCCAAGGTAGAGGTCCAAATCCTAAACAGTATGTTATAATATACACTACTATTCCTATAATGGGCAGCCATGCCAAGTTGGAAATATCCTTTTGACAGTCATCTTTCATGTAGAAAAAGAAAGCAAGAACGCTATGCGAAATAGCCATTCCTAAACCAGAAAGCATTAGAAGAAAACGTTTTCCGCATCTATCGACAACGAGGGGAGTAGCGGCACTCGCCAATATTTGGACGATACCAACTATAATAGTGCAAATTTCAGGTGCTAACGAAACTCCTGCATCTGTGAAAATATTTTGTGTATAGAAGAGAACAATGTTTATTCCAGAAAATTGTTGAGCCCCTAACAAACTTAAACAATAATTAAAGCTTTCCTCAGTCCTACCGACTTTAAAATTGTTGTTAAACCACCTTTATTTTCGATATCATCTTCTACTTGTAATTTTACTATTTCTGCTTCCTTCTCGGCAAATTTCTTTTCTATTCCTTTAAGTTTTGAAAGAGCTGCAATCGCTTCTTCCATTTTTCCACTTTGATAAGATAATACGGACTCTCTGGTATAAAAAAGAAGAAAAGAATCATAAATATACCAGGAATACATAGAAGAATGGTATTAAAAACTTTTATGGAGATAAAAGGTCCCAAAGCGTATGAGAAAAGAAGCCCAAGTACAGCGAAAAGCTGCATGAAAGAACCCAAAGTTCCTCTTGTTTCATTATCTGATATTTCTCCTATGTACATGGGCATTGCTGTGAATATAATACCTGTACCAAAACCACAGATAAATCTTGATAAATAGAACATAAAAACGGAGCGTGCAAAAATATTCAACGCAAAGGCTGCCAAAAACGGTGTCGCCCCTATGAGGATAGTCTTCTTTCTTCCAATTAAATTAGCAAGAATGCCTCCTCCAATTGGCCCGATAGCAGCTGCTAGTGGCAGAAAGGAACCAATCCATCCCTCTTCAGAAACTGATAATTCGTGGTCTAACGGACTGGTAGTTGTATTTTTTAGTAATGGAATTTCTGGTGATGTCCACCCCAAGGCAGTACCGCAAATGAATGTTGCAATATTGGCTGAAACAAAAATTAAAAATGAAACTACTATTGCATCAGATATATTGTAAATAAAAACCAAACACTTAACAGCATAATATTAAAAATAAATTAATAATTGTTATATGAAATTCTCAACTGAAGATGTCCAGAAGGAACATATATTGTTTTATTCTAATGACACTGACGTGTGGAACTAAACACAACTGTTTGGAAGAATTTCTCTGTTACTGGGTTTGTGTTCACTGTTTTTAATATCTTTTGGATGCCATTTTAAATGTTTTTTTTAATTTTCATTGTTTATCATCATCAATTTTTTTGAGTGAGAAAGAACATTTGAATGGGACTCAGGAACCATTCGTGTTTAAAGTATTGCTTGATTGCTTTAGTTTTATAATTTTACGTTCCTTAAGTTTTATAATTTCTCCCTAAGTAACTCAAACTTGGAACTCAAATCATGGATGGAATCATTAAAAGTGTTAACAATGGAACAGGATACAGAAGAGGAAACAACGAAATAAAAATACTCTGCTACGCAGACGATGCAATATTGATAGCCCAAGATGAAGATGGTCTGCAAAGACCGGACCACAGATTTAACATAAGAGCCAAAGAATTTAATATGACAATTGTATCTCAAAAAACTAAAACAATAGTAAACAGCAAAGAATCAACCAGATGAAAAATAGAAATTGATGACATCAGTATTAAACAAGTAATGGAAATAAAATACCTTGGAATTATACTGTTCAGCTATGAAGACCTAGACAAAGAAGTGATATATTAAGTACAAAAAGCCATGATGCAGGATGCCTTAATAACAATATATGGCGAAACAGACACATTAATACTGAGCTTAAGTCAAGAATTTATAAAGCCAATGTAAGACGAATAATAACATATGCCTCAGAAATAAGACATAGTCACAACACAAATGCTACTGAAAACGGCAGAGATGAGTGAACTGCCTACAGTGTATAAATGAATAGACACAAAATAGAAAAAAAGAATGGAATAACCACATAAGCAGAATGGGGGAGACTCATGTCGTCAAAATAGCAAGAGATAAGTCACCAATCGACTTAAGAAGTATCGGATGACCGTCCAAAAGATGCGAGTCACAGCCTTCCATAAAGGTATTAATCGCCAATGATCAAGCAGAATTGCTTATAAAGAGAAAGAAGAAGATTAAGAGTATTTATATTGACTTTTTTGACAAGACAGGGAATTTTGGTAGATTATGTTCTACAATCTTCACCAAAGTATATGATTAAGCGTTTTTGTATCACGACTGCTTTAATTTCAGCAGAACTTAAGTCTGAGCATGTTTCTGGATAAGAAGAAGCTCTACAGTAATTAACAACAACAAAAAATACACTTTAGACAAAAAGTTAATTGATTATAATTTAATAAAAATAAAAGTAAATATCAAATATGTGGCAAGTTTTATGATTAAAATACTAAATTTTGGCAAGGTAAAGGGCACTGCGCCAATTATAGGCAGCGATGACAAAAATAAAAAATAAATCTGTAAAAATATTTACCTGCAGCAGCAGCTGTGTACAGAAATTTACGATTTGATGCATTAACCATTTTAAGAACTTTCTGTGTATATGTTACACTATATCAGGTAATAATGATACCTTTTAATTTTTTTGCAGCTTTATATATTTCATCATATCTAGCTTGACTTTTATTTGAAACAGCGTCATTCATTCACTGTATGCTGAATAAATGTTATAACAAATAATATAATATCCTTATACTAATAAATTTAAGACTGATGTAGTTACAAGATTTATTTCTGTGAGCTTAAAGAAATTTAAGAATTTTTATGAGTTAAAAGCTTTTAAATGTTTACTTAGATGTTTTGATCTTTGTACATTTACTTGTTTCAATTATTTACTTAGGATATTATGTGGGAATCGATACAGGATGAAATTGTGAATATTGAGTTGGAGTGAGTGAACAGAATCTGAATGTGTGAGCTAGAGTAGGTAGTAGATAGATAGGAGGAATAATGTGGCAATAAGACTGGCCATTAGTAAAGCCACCACTGAGGATTAAAAGAGGAATCGGTTTCATGTAGATAGAATAAGATAATTATGCAGTGTACGGTTGGCACATATTACCAAGTATGAATTTGCAGAAATATGGGCAGATTCTATATGGAGAATGATGAATGTATTTATTAGGAGTGTACAGAATCTGAGATTAGTGAACCAGAGCATGTGGTGGATAGATGGAAATAATGTGATAATGAGTCTACGGTCCTACTCCTCTTACCACGCTTAAGGCGTGGAAGAGGAGTAGGTTGTGTGTGGATAGATTGAGAGAATTATGCTGTGAATGAATGATATATTACCAAATATGAATTTGGAAAAATATTTGGAAAAATATGAGCAGCTTCTATATTTGTGATATCAGTGCTAATAAGTACCACTATGCTTACAAAACTTTTTATGCAAAAAACTCTATCTCTCTGAGAGGGAGAGAAAGAGAGCGAGGATAGAGCTAAATATGTATATATACTATTATATATATATATATATATATTATATATATATATATATTAATATATTCTGTTGAACTCAATATATGGGACAGAGATAGTCCGAGACCGAAGTCGCCTCTCGTTCATTATCTTTATGATTTTATGTCTAAACTTAGAAGAATAACTCATTTCGTAGTTCTTGGGCTATTCTTTTTTTTCTTTTGGATGATTGTCAATTTTTTTGCGTAGCTTGAGACAAAATGCTGTCAGGCAGCCATCAATTTACTAGCAAGATTACCGCGCTCTTCAATCTGGAACATTTTAGAGCCCAGAGGATGCATGGTGTAGGGGAAAAGTGTTGCCTTAATCAATGTCTTAGAATTACTTTTCCCCTACACCATGTAACCTCTGGGCTCAATAATGTTTCAGATTGGAGACAGAGACAGCGTAGTAACAGGTGATCCAGAACAAGAACGTGTGCAATTTCAATAATTGTTTCCATTTTTTTGCACAACACTCCGTCGTTCGTATTGTCGCAGTGTAAATTTCGTGGTGGATTTTCTGGCCATGCAATGCCAACTGGACAAATACTGCGGCGCTTCGCCACTTGCCTTTGTAGAGACTGGGACAGCATATAGAAAAAAATGCTCCTTACATATGAAGGCTGCCCCACAGCAACTGTTCTGCTGAGAATATCGCTGCTTTTGCCCGAAAATGTCGAAGAGGAACCCGAAATAACGACAATGCGACGTGACAATCAATTGAGCATGAGCTAGGCAGTCCCTACGCAGATTTTTGATAAAAGATTTGAAGATGTAACCTTACAAAAGATAGACAGTGCATCAGCTGTTAGCTGTTGACTTCCAAACGCTTCTAACCTATGCTCGAGCCATCCTGAATCTCAAGGAAGAGGAGGACGATTTTTTACAAAATGAATAAACAAAATTACCATTTGTGAGGCACACAAATTTCGTGTATTGTCCACAAAGAGCCGTTACACCCGCTTAAGGTTACTGCGTTTACTGTTTTACTGTTTATGCTGGAGGAGTCTTCGGGCCATTTTTCTTTGAGAACGCCGCAGACCAAACGACAACAGTGAGCTACATTGCTACAGAGCCATGATTAGCAAATTTTAGTGATTTGCACTGATCTGACTAATGGCTTAAATAAACAGATTTAATAAGCAGAACCAAAGTTTTTCATAAAAACAAAATTGGAGCAAAAGAACATTGGGTGAATACGTTTGCCCCACCTTGTACATATCTTACCGTATAATGAGGTACGTGCTGCTATCTATAATTTGCGGATTGAGCATGGTTTTAATACATGTATGTGAGTGTGTGTATTATGTTTTTTCAACAAATTCATGTCATATTCTTAGTTGATGATCTTCTTCTGGTAGCACTACAACCCGGGTGGGTCTTGGCTGACTGCACAGCCTGCTTCTAAGATGGCCAGCCCAGTCTTAGACGTTGGGATTTAATCTCTTGGACTACGTCGCTAGCACTATACATTTGTTGACCTCGGCAGTTGATGATCTGCAGGTGTTTATTTGCATATGTCTTATTACACCTGTTTTTAATGTTTATAGGACATTTCTTAATAGCCATTAGGATGTGCCGTGATGGAGTTAAGAATGTTAACACTACGGTCCTAGGCCTAATATGTACTCTCTTTGATATTCATCGATTTTTCTTCGCGTGCCATATCAGAATTATCCGACGTTGGCGATTACCATTGCGAAGGCTTCTCGATCTTCTGCAATATGAAATAATTGTCCTGCATTTGGTATCTGAGTCCATTCACAAATGTTTTTTAACCAAGAAACTTGTTTTCTTCCTACACCTCTACGGCCCTCTATTTTGCCTTTAAGGATCAGTTATAAAATTTTCGATTTCGATTCATCGATGCTTCGGGGTAATTTTGAATCTGGGGAAAAATCTTAATATCGACAAAATATAACCTTACAATATTCGTAGATTTCCATAAAAATTCGATCTTGCTAAAGTCGATGAAGTAAATATAGGCGTATTAACTATTCATGGTTCTTCACGAAAACATGGAATACCGAAGAGTAATTTGCATAATCAAATAGCTGTAAAAACTGATATTGAAAGTCAATCACTGGGTAGAAAACTGGCCATTTCACTGGCCCAAGAAGTAATGTTAGCGGATGGTCTCTGAACATTAGAACAGTGAGGCTTTGGCCTTTCACGAAAGAAGTAATTCTTTGAGTGGCACTTATTGGCAAGCACTATTCTTCTTTTAATTTCTTCGCTGACATTCTTGTCTTTTGTGAGCAGCGAGCCCAGGTAGATGAAGGTGTCCTTCCAGTTCCAGGTCATCAAATAATAGTCTAGGTATCTGGTTGCCTGATCTAGTACAATACATATACTTGGTTTTCTGTGCGTTTCTGTTCATGTAAAATACTCCGCATTATAAATATTTCATTGAACTTGCAGATTACTTGAGTCAATTTCTCTTGACACGTTTGGACTATCATCAGGAATTTCAGGTAAACTAATATTTAAATTCTCCTGACCTCTTGAGCTAGTCAACATGGATTGCTCATACTTCTCTGTGTGACATTAACCTGTTTGGTTGCTGACACTAACTGTAAAATTTGTGTTTCTGCTTCGTATGTCAACACTGGAGGAACCCATTAATCAAATACTTTCCTCTTCAGGCTTGTGGGCAGCTCACTTTGAAAAGTTTCTCTCTGTTTGATCTGTGACCTATTTTTTTCTTTAGTTCATGGGTTTGATTATCCCTGTTGATCATAATTTCATATCCTAGGTATTTATATTTATATACAAGTTCTACTTCTTGCACACCAATACTGGTATTCTGGTTGCGTCCCAAATTTGTCATTATTTTTGTTTATCTTTGTAATATTATATCATTATAATCTTGTTAATCCTACATTTGCTGTAGCCACAACGAGTTCCTGTATCATCTTTCTTGCTATTTCTAGAGCCTCCGCTACTACGACTATATCATCAACGAAACATGAGTTTTTTAGATATTCTCAATCTATTTTTATTCTCTTTGTCAGAAAATCCAAATTCTTAAAAACATGTTGCAGCACAATATTAAAAAGTTTAGGTGACATTGGGTCTCCTTGTCCATAGTGCTATTTTGGCGTTAAAATTGTTATTATTAAGAAGTGATCAGGAATTTTCTTGATTGCACAAGATATGTAATATTTGGGCTTCTTCTCCTGGATGTCCTGTACTAGGGGCGTACACATAAACGATCTTTAGGATATATTTGTGAATAAAGAAACCGACGCCTCCTACTGTCGATAATTCTTCCCTTTTGTAGTACCATAAATGGCGAGGAGAGTTCTTCCTCAATGTCTGAATCTTTCCTGAAAGTGATCGAGCATTATATGTGGCGATGTTGAGGTATATCTTTTGACGCATTTTGATTAGGGTTTACAGTGGTCGGGCTTTTTGGCATTTAAACACCGTACTTGCCTTGAATGTTGCTGAGTATTCATACCTATTTCCACGAGTAACTGAGGACTGTTAGTCGATTCCTGTACAGCCTTGCGTACAGGAACAAGCCTAATATTCAGTGGGATTTCGCCCAGTTTTCCAGAAGCATATATATATATATATATATATATATATTATATATATATATATATACACCTTGTACTTATTTGACCTTATTAACAACTAGATAAAAAGTTGGGTACTGCTTCAGTACTTTTCCGTAAAATTCGCTTATCATATTGCATCAGCTACTGTAGGTTGAATATAAAATTCCAACTTAAGAACTCATATTTTATAAGTATTAATCAAAACCACAAACAAACAATTATTAATGCTCAGTTAGTCTAGACGATAATGTCATAATTAAAAAAAATGGACATTGTGTGGAAAAACGTGCGTCAACGAATGGTATTAATGAGACTCGTGCAAAGAGGAATATTAGAAAAGATCTTTTGTAAAAAATACGTATCATTGTAATAGGAGCATCATCAATGGCAGTGGATATAGACAGTTCTTCTTCTTCTTCAGATGCAAATCCCCTAATGGATGTTAGCGATCACATTTTCCATTAATTCTCTATTTCTTGCAATATGTATCAGAGATTGTATGTAGTTAATCCCTGTCCATTGCCTTATGTTTCGG